TTACTACTGACTACTACTACTACTTAATAATAATAGTAGTAGTAGTAATGATTAGACTAATTAATACTACTACTAATAATACTACTACTAATAAAATAGTAGTAGTAGTAGTAGTAGTAGTAGTAGTAGTAGTAGTAGTAGTAGTAGTAGTAGTAGTAGTAGTAGTAGTAGTAGTAGTAGTAATAATAGTATCAATAATAATATTAATAATAATGATACGAATAATGCTAATAATACTAATAATAACAATACTAATACTACTACTACTACTACTACTACTACTAATCATAATACTAATAATAATAATAACAATAATAATACTACTACTAATAATAATATTAATAATACTACTAATACTAATACTAATAATATTACTAATACTAATAATACTTATAATAAAAAAATAATAATAATGATAATAATTGTTATAATAATAATATCATAATAATAATAAGAATGATAATAACAACACTAATAATACCACTACTAATAATACTAATACTAATAATACTAATAACAATACTACTACTACTAATAATAATAATAATAATACTAATAATAATGATAATAATAATACTAAGAAGAGGAGGAGGAGGAAAAATAGGAGGAGGAGGCGGAGAATGAGGAGGAGCAGGGGGTGGAGGAGAAGGAGGAGGAGGAGAAGGAGGAGGAGGAGGAAACGGAGGAGGAGGAAACGGAGGAGAAGGAGGAGGCATACTAATAATAATCAGCAGCGTACGAATGCTACGAATAATAAGAAGACAGCATATAATTCCAATGATAACAGTACGAGGAAGGCGAATAATACTAACACCACGAACAAATCATGCTACCAAGAGGAGGAGGAGGAGGAGGAGGAGGAGGAGGAGGAGGAGGAGGAGGAGGAGGAGGAGGAGGAGGAGGAGGAGGAGGAGCAGGAGGAGGAGGAGGAGGAGGAGGAGGAGGAGGAGGCGGAGGAGGAGGAGGAGGAGGAGGAGAAAATACATGCAGAGGATTCGCACGAGGAGCATGAACAAGTGGAGGAGGAAAATGATGAAGAGGAGGAGGAGGAGGAGGAAAAGGATGGAGAGAATGAGGAAAATGATCATATATGCAACGAGGAGGACGAGAAAGAGGAGGAACAGGAAACAGGACGCGTAAACGCAGGGAGGGCCCCCGCTTTGCGAGAAGAACATGGTCAGGGCCAAGCTGAATGTGTTTTCGTGCTGGATCCCACCGTCGGAGTCATTCTCTAGTCGGGCCTGAACCCAATCCACTGTGTCCGCCTTCCATGCTTTTTCCTAAACCTCCTGCGCTGTTGGGTCCTCGTTTTGAAGAGACAGCGCCCTGCGCCCAACCTCACCTCACCTTCCTCCTCCCGCTCCCTCCTCCTTCCCATCCTTGCTTCTGCCATCCGCATGTGTGTGTGTGTGTGTTTCGGCACACCCCTCACACGTTTCGTAGCCCGAGCTCCATAGGAGACCCAGTCAGTGGCGGTTTCCACATGCGTGCCCGCCACCCATTCCGGCACGCCCCCACACGTTTCGTGGCCCCACAGAGAGCCTCCCTCACTCGTTTCGTGTCCCCATGGGGAGCTCCACTGAAGGTCCCAGTGGCCGTGTCCACATGCGCACATGCGTCCGTCACGCGTTTCGTGGCCCCAATAGGACCTCGACCGAAGGCCCGGTGGTGGTGTTCGCATGCATCCCCGCCATCCATCCCATTTCAGCACGTCCCTCACACAGTTTCGTGGCACCCAGGAGCGCCACCGAAGGCCACAGTGGCATGCCACATGCGTCCCCGCCACCGAGCGCCCCCCCCCCCCCCCCCCCCCCCCCTTTCCCCCCCTTCCCCCCCCCCCCCCCCCATCACAGTTTCGTGTCCCCATGGGGTCCCATTGGCGGTGTTCACATGCATCCCCGCCACCAATTTGGGCACATCCCTCACACGTTTCGTGGCCCAATCGGGGGCCCCACCGAAGGCCATAGTGGCGCTGTTCGCTTGCGTTCCCGCCACCCATTTCGGCACACTCATCACACGTTTCGTGGCCCCATGGGGAGTTTCAATGGAGGCCCCAACGCCGGTGGCCACATGCGCCCCCGCATCCCATTTCGGCACGCCCCTCACACGTTTCTTGGCTTCATAAAGGGCCCCCCCCTAGGCCCTAGTGGCTGCATCCACATGCGTCCCAGCCACCCATGTCGGCACATCCCTCACACGTTTCGTGGTCCCAAAAGGACCTCGACCGAAGGCCCGGTGGTGGTGCTCGCATGCGTTCCCGCCTTTAATTTCGGCACGTCCCTCGCACGTTTCGCGGCCCCATACGATGCTAGCTTCGCCGAAGGCTCCAGTGGCGGTGTTCGCGTGCGTCCCCGGCACAAATGTCGGCACACCCCTCGCGCGTTTCGTGGCCCGATAGGGAGCTCCACCGAATGCCCTAGTGGCGCTGTTCGCACGCGTCCCTGCCACCCATGCCGGCACATCGTCACACGTTTCGTGGCCCCACAGGGATCTCCATCGAAGGCGATGCTCACAATTGCGTAATTCACAACTGCATTTGGTTATGTCTTTCGCCTGGCTAGTTGCCTACCTCTTCCGACCGACGTTTACGCATTGCGCGAACGTTCGGAACTTGAGACTAGCCTCGCGGACTAGGGGGCCGTAGTCATGTACGTGGCTGGGCGCTTACGTCCTTTGTGGGCTCCCAAACTGACCCCTGGAACTCGAAGAGATTCGAGGTGCTGGGGTCTAGAAGGTTTTTTTGCATCTTTCGTCCTCCAGAGGCCGTTTTCAGGTCGCGGGGCCGTCAAGAACGGATCCGGAGTGACACAAAATGCACAAGGTGGGCCCCTGGAGGGGTCCAGGCGAGCATCGGCCCACAGTGTACGGTTGGGAACTTCGGGACAGCGTGTCGCTCCGCCAGCTCTGGCCCACCACGCTTCGGCGCGACACGCTACGGTGGGGCCCCATGCCAAGAAACACCCTGCCTGCCTCCTAGGTGCCCTGGGTTTCTTGGGTTTCGATGGTTTTGCCATGGAAAGCGTGGCGTTCCCACACCAAAAATCGATGGACATCCTGGGGTCACAGGGTTGGGTTTCTTGTGGAAAGTTTCTTGTGGTCGGGCCCCTCCTGTATCCACTTCCTGGTCCTCGAGCGTCCACGTCCCGAGCTGTCCCCGAGCCTCCCGCCCCGCGGAGCGGAGCGACACGACACCCGCTCGAAAAGGCACAGCGTGCCGCGGGGGCCGCTGCCGCGGCACGCTGTTCCAAAGTTTCCGACCTCAGCCCTCCCTCCTCCTCCTCCTCCTCCTCCTCCTCCTCCTCCTCCTCCTCCTCCTCCTCCTCAAAAGTTTCCGGGACCCCTGGAGTGCTCCCCCCGTGAGCTCTCCAGGGGTCCCGCCCCACGGGGTGGCAGGCCGTCGGGCTTGCCGGTCGGCCGCGAGCAGCGGTGGCGGGCGGGGAGCTGGGAAGGCTGCTTCGAGGATGCGTGGAGGAAGTGGCGAAGATGGAGAGGAGGGAGGCATGACGGGGAGACAACGGTGTTCGAGGGGAATGGGGAGGCGGGTGCAGTGTTTGGGGCATGGGCTAGAGGAGGAGGAGGAGGAGGAGGAGGAAGAGGAGGAGGAGGAGGAGGAGGAGGAGGAGGAAGAGGAGGAGGATGAGGAGGAGGAAGAAGAACGAGAGGAGAGGGATTGGGTGGTGATGGGAAAGGACGAGGCGGGACAGGAAGGGGAGGTCTTAGCCACGGCGGCGAGGGGGTGGAGGAGAGGGGAGTAGGAGCAGGACCTCCCGGATACTCCCCCCCAAGCGTTTCTCAGACCTCTCGAAGCCATTCGCCTCCTCCCTCCTCGTCTCTCGTCCCGCTCTCTGCTCCTCCTTCTCCCTTCACCCCCCCCACACGCAGCTGGATAAGGGAAACAAGGGGGGCAGGAGAAGGGAATACAGAGGGAGAGAGGGAGAGAGAGAGAGAGAGAGAGTGAGAAAGAGAGAGAGAGAGGGATAACAACAAGCAGAGATAGGGAGAGGACTTGAGGCGTGCCGAAGGGGGGCGCGACGGCGTGAGCGCGATACGCAGCGGCCGCGATGCTCCTTCTCTTCCTCCGTCCCCTCCCCCCGTCCTGTTGCTCCTCCTCCTCCCCCTCCTCCTCCTCCTCCTCCTCGTTCTGCTCCTTCTTCTTCTTCGCCTTATTCGTCTTATTTTTCTTCTTCTTCTTCTTAATGGTTATCCTTTATATATATATATATTTCCCTCTCCCCAGCCGCGCTCAGTTTTTCTGCCACACCCCGTGTTTCTTATTCTGCCCCTAATCTTCTCTCTCTTGTGACAGTGGGCTCCTTCTCCGTGTTCCCCCTCCTCCCCTCCTCCCCGTCCTTAAGTAGGGTGCAGCCCCTGGGAGTTTCAACTAGTCGTCGGCCTTGGCATTTCCTTGGTACATGTCTGGAGTAGACCAGCTCAATCTGGCCTAATCTATTCAAACTTGATCGATCAGGGTTAATCTGATCTAGCCATTCGTATGTTATCTGTCGCAGTATGGTGTAATCCAGCTGAGCAGCTGCTGCGGCTTATTTGCCGTCCATCGTGCCGATGCATACCTTGCTGGGATTGCCACCAGGTCTCCCTTCTCTTCATCGCCTCTTTCTCATCTGTATTCTCGGGCTGCGGCTTGTCGTTGGCCGCCTAGGTCTTGCCGCCTTTCCATGCGGTGCACCAGCTTCTCCTCGTTCGCCCCTACCCGGGGTGTTTTCTCTTCGGACCCTCGACCTCTCCTTTGTCAGTGGCGCTTACCTTTCGCCCCTTCCATGTGCACTGTGCCCCTTCCGAAGGATTGCAAAAAAAAACCAACGAAGGATTGCAAAAAAAACCATTTGTTTTGCAATCCTTCGTGCAAAGGATTGCCAAAAACCCTTTTTTCGAAGGATTGTGCAAACAAAACTCTTTTTTTGCAATCCTTTTTTTTGCAATCCTTCGTGCACCGTGCTGCCGTGCCACTCGGGACGCCCGGGACGCCCGGCAGAGCCGAGGAGTCTCGCCTCGACAACCCGCGCGACCTCACGCACCACGACTTGTACACCAGGACGGTGATGGTTGCGAAGATGAGGCCGGCGACGCGCGCGCTGTTCAATGGTACGGTCGGTCAGGCAGTGGCGAAGCGTCCTGGCGTGCCCATAGGCCTACCAAACAATGTCATTTCTGGCTGAGGCCGTCTTGGTTTAGCACATCGGGGTTCTGTCCTTAGAACAATATTTTTGTTCTTAGAGCACTTTTGGGTTCTAAGAACTTGTCGTGGCAGGCCTATAGGAATGCGGGGACGGTCGGTGCCTGCTCAAGTCGGCTCGAGGTATAGGATCGAGGTCGGTTCGGGAAGGTTACCCTGGCGTTCTCCTTGCCTTCTGCATGTTCCTCTGCATCCCGGGGCCTCGCGCGCCACCGAGGGAAAGATACGGGGGAGAGGTCCGACGGCCCGGCCGACATTCCCCAAGGGGGGCCGGGGGCCATCGGGGAGGACCTCTTTTGCCCCCGCGGGGTGGCCTTGCGCCATCCGCACCATGAGCCAGCGACGGGCCCAAAGTCAGGAGGAAAAGAAACACACAGACACAATAATCCTTGATTCCCCAGAAAATATAGGAAAATATGGGCAGTGGGGGGGAAGACAGAAACCCAGAAAATATAGGAAAATATGGGTAATCCTTTTATTTGTGTCTATTTATTTGTGTGTCCCAGGGCCCCTTCACAGAGAAGGGAACAAAAGAGCGCACCAGCCACAGCAAAGTCGGGCAGGTCGGGCTGCCCCTCTTCCTGGAGACGGCTGCCCGGACCTCGGGCCTCAGCCTGGCTCAGGCCGAGTGCCTGGAGGCAGCCTGCAAGGCACAGCTGATGCCTCATGGCCCCCGACGGGCCCGCTGAAGCCGTGCTGCTGGCCCTAACAGGCTGGGCCCCTGGCTCCACGAGGGATCCCCCGAAGAACTCCCGAGCAATCGAACCGGGAGATAGCCAGGGGCCCAATCTGTGGGCTCGTTCAGGGTGCTTCCCACGAGAACAGTAGCCTTTGTTCTTCTTGCCTGGCCCCGCCAGCGCCGCAGTGGCCCCCCAGGCTGCATCCTTGGGGAGGGTACCCTCGAATGTTCTTCAGTTTGGCCGGCGGAGGGTATCATGTTCTTGAAGGTCGGGGCTCGCTAAAGGTGTCCCTGGCCCAAGGTGCCCCTCGCTTTTCGCTCCACTCTTTAGCACCTGGGGCCCTCTGGGACTCGTGATGGGGTGCTCTGGAGGCCGCGGGGGCCTCCTTGGACATCCTGGGGGCACCTGGGGCCAGGTGCACTTCCAGCAGCACCCGAGAAGGATGTTCTTCTATCCTTGGTCCGGCTGTACACTCTTTCGTCCTCTATCGAAAGCTCCTCCTCCTCCTCCTCCTCATCCTCCTCCTCCTCCTCCTCCTCCTCCTCCTCCACATCATGGGATGGGGCTCCAGCGCGGCCAGCCCCATCCTCACCGCCTCCGCCGCCACCGCCGTCGTCGTCGACATCGCGTCGTCGTCGTTGTCGTCGTCGTCGTCGTCGTCGTCGTCGTCGTCGTCGTCGTCGCCGAGGTCGTCCAGCCTAAATCCGGTGAAAACCTTTTTGCTCCCCCCCCACCTGGACAGGGCACCAACTGAGCCATTGGGATGAAACAGAGCTGCTGGGAAGATATTCGCGAGCTCCAGGGTCTGGCGACTCGAAGACAACTGGTCGTCGGAGGTCTCTGGCAGCGACGACTGACATGTATCAAAGGACTGAGGTCACCTTACTTCGCGCATTGCGCCGCGCGGAGCGACATGCGCAGTCAACAGTCTTCGCGCCCTTGCGCCACCCCCTTGGGAGAAGAGGGCCTCCACACCAGTCCCGACCGAAAAAAAACACCGAGCGCGATCCTCGTCGCGCTCCTGCGGGTGACCTGGAAGACCGTGCTGCTCATGATGAGCCCTCTCCTCCTGCTGCTAGGCCTCGCGGGCTGAGCTGCACCGCCCTGAGAAATGCGAAGTTGCGCCTGGGTGCGGCAACGGCAGCTAAGCCGGTCGCAGCCTTCAGAGGGGGCCAAAGAATATGTCGGCTTTGGCCTCCTTCATGGTCCACCTGCACTACCGAGCCCACTCAACCGCCGAATGGGCCGAATCGAATCAGTGCAGGCGGACAACTCGATGTTGTACCGCCCTGGTGGCCCAGGGGCCTGCGACGACGACGACGACAAGGAGGAGGAGGAGGAGGAGGAGGAGGAGGAGGAGGAGCAGACATCTCGCGCGCGCGGAGCGCGGTCCAGGGGGACGAACGCCGCACCCGTCGGGCGGCTGCGCGCAGAGAGCGCGAGCGCGGGCGGCGCTTCCCCGCCGGCTCCTGGGGCGCGAGCCGCAGCACGGAGCGCGCGCGCGCACGGAACTCTCGGCGCCCGGCCGAGCAGCGAGCCTACCACCGAGCCGAGGAGGCCACCTTCCCACCGCCTCCGCGGGAGGAGCGGCACGGCCCGGAGGCCCAGGGAGCCTTCGCCGGGGCGCGAGAGAGCGAAGCTTGCGGCGCGGCCGAGGGCGTGAGACTCATCGCGGAGCCGAGGGGATATATAGAGGCCTCCCAGACAGGGTCCGAGCAGATGGGGTCGGAGGATCTCGCCGCATCGCCGATGCACCGGCGATGCATCGGCCATGCACTGGCGACGTCGGCGATACATCCGCGACTCCGGCATGGAGCAAATTGGGCCACACATCGAGCCGCATCGCCGATGCATCGCCGATGCATCGGCAATGCGGCGCGATCCTCCGATCCCATCTACTCCGACCCCACCTAGGAGGCCTAGAGGAGAGGAGCTTCCCAACCGGCCTCGCGGGCTGAGTGGGCACCGCCTGGAGGCCCAGGAGGTTACGCCAGCTGCTGGAGCGCGGGCCGCAGAAGCGCGCGCGCTCGGAGCTCCTCGCGTCCGGGGGATGAAGCCGCCCACGAGCCAAGGCGACGACCCTGAGCGCTTCGTGCTGCTGGCGTTAGGTCGGGCATGTCCTCCTACAGGCGGAAAACGTCCCCATATTATTTCTCGACTATTTTGAATTTTCCTCCTGCGGAGGGACACGCCCGATTTCACTTCATGCTGGTGGCGAGGCGCCGGGGCTTCCCGCCCGCGGGTCGCGGGTTGTCTGTGCGCGTCCCCGGCCGAGGCCGCGAGGCGCGAAGCGCCATCATCTCCGCACCCCCGCAAGGGGGGGGGCTCAGCCAAGCGGTGCTCCTCCCTCCTCCTCCTCCTCCCTCCTCCTCCCCCCCCTCCTCCTCCTCCTCCTCCCCCTCCTCCTCCTCCTCCTCCTCCTCTTCTTTCTCCTCCTCCTCCTCCTCCTCCTCCTCCTCCTGAGCCTGGCCTCAGTCCGCCGCAAGTGCATCGGCGATGCATCGGCGATGCGGCTCGATGTGTGGCCCAATTGCGTCGATGCCGGAGTCGCGGATGTATCGCCGGACGTCGCAGTGCATGGCCGATGCATCGCCTGGTGCATCGGCGAGCGCTGTATGTGTTCCTCCGATCCATCTGCTCGGACCGTCTGGGATGGCCTCTATATCTTCTTCCTAGGCCTCTATATATCCCCTCGGCTCCGCGATGAGTCTCACGCCCTCGGCCGCGCCGCAAGCTTCGCTCTCTCGCGCCCCGGCGAAGGCTCCCTGGGCCTCCGGGCCGTGCCGCTCCTCCCGCGGAGGCGGTGGGAAGGTGGCCTCCTCGGCTCGGTGGTAGGCTCGCTGCTCGGCCGGGCGCCGAGAGTTCCGTGCGCGCGCGCGCTCCGTGCTGCGGCTCGCGCCCCAGGAGCCGGCGGGGAAGCGCCGCCCGCGCTCGCGCTCTCTGCGCGCAGCCGCCCGACGGGTGCGGCGTTCGTCCCCCTGGACCGCGCTCCGCGCGCGCGAGATGTCTGCTCCTCCTCCTCCTCCTCCTCCTCCTCCTCCTCCTCCTTGTCGTCGTCGTCGTCGCAGGCCCCTGGGCCACCAGGGCGGTACAACATCGAGTTGTCCGCCTGCACTGATTCGATTCGGCCCATTCGGCGGTTGAGTGGGCTCGGTAGTGCAGGTGGACCATGAAGGAGGCCAAAGCCGACAGTTCTTTGGCCCCCTTGAAGGCGGCGACCGGCCTAGCTGCCGTTGCCGCACCCAGGCGCAACTTCGCATTTCTCAGGGCGGTGCAGCTCAGCCCGCGAGGCCTAGCAGCAGGAGGAGAGGGCTCATCATGAGCAGCACGGTCTTCCAGATCACCCGCAGGGGCACGACGAGGGTTGCGCTCGGTGTTTTTTTCGGTCGGGACTGTGGTGTGTAGGCCCTCTTCTCCCAAGGGGGTGGCGCAAGGGCGCGAAGACTGTTGACTGCGCATCTCGCTCCGCGCAGCGCAGTGCGCGAAGTAAGGTGACCTCAGTCCTTTGATACATGTCAGTCGTCGCTGCCAGAGACCTCCGACGACCAGTTGTCTTCTAGTCGCCAGACCCTGGAGTTCTCGAATATTTTCCCAGCAGCTCTGTTTCATCCCAATGGCTCAGTTGGTGCCCTGTCCAGGTGGGGGGGAGCAAAGAGGTTTTCAGCGGATTTAGGCTGGACGACCTCGACGACGACGACGACGACGACGACGACGCGATGTCGACGACGACGGCGGTGGCGGCGGAGGCGGTGAGGATGGGGCTGGCCGCGCCGGAGCCCCATCCCATGACGTGGAGGAGGAGGAGGAGGAGGAGGAGGAGGAGGAGGAGGAGGAAGAGGAGGAGGAGTAGGAGGAGGAGGAGGAGGAGGAGGAGGAGGAGAAGGAAGAGGAGGAGGAGGAGGAGGATTTTGACATCAACCGTGGCAACAAGAGCGACGCCCCGTGGTCGTCGCCCCCTGCTATCTGGCCTGGAGCAGGCCAGCGAGCAGTGAAAATGTGAAAGGAGGGCAGGCGCGAAAGCCACGGGGCGATTTCCCACAGGAGGGGAGGATCCCCTGTGTCTCACCGCCTGCCCCCCAAAGCCCTCGACCAGAGAAGAATGAGGTCAGGGCGAGACGCACACACACGCAGAGGGCGCATGCTGCATCTCTTTAGTCTGAGTCATCAGTCTGTGGTGCAGCGTCGGGGACGAGCGAGGCCTCGTCCTCTTCAAGGATTGAGGCAGCTCGATCTCGGCCGAACG